AAGAGAGACTGTTTTAACTATTGCTGGGTGCTGCTAAATTACTTTCATTTCTCTTTTTTTTGCCCTGACTAGTGTTTTGATAATTTTATCTCTTTTATCATGCAAGTGTGTGGAGTCTGGTATTAAAGCTTTCTGATACAATGTTTTGAGAACCAAAAGTAATATAGGAAAGGTATAGTAGATAATTTTAGGTTGAGTCTATTAATCACATAAATGTCAATGAAAATAAAAATAATTTAATAATGAAGTCATCTAGAAAAGTATCATGATCCACAGGCACTGGTGCTATCTTAAATGAGGTGGAATAAGTAAAAGGAACAAACAAAACTCTTATTAATTAACAGAAGATTATCCTTGATAATTTGGGGGAAGGGGTATTTATGATATGCAGAGTATTGTATAGTAGCATACAATATAGGTATTTTGAATAAACAAGCGTATTTTGGCCTAAGATGTGTGATTGATCTATTTTCACCTTTAGCGACTTAGATAATAGGTTTTATATATCATAGTAGTAGTTTGGGGGTTGTATAGTTATGAAATGTACTAGTAGGTTACAAAATCTGAGATTGAGAATTCCTGAGTGAGAAAGACCACTTTGTGGATAGGGTTTCCTGAGAAGATAGTCTGGTCATAAATACCATAGCCAAATGTAGTCCTTCAGGAATATTGGCTGTTAAAGCCTGTTCCAGTTAAATTAGATGCACATCAAAAAATATTCTAAAGATGATTGTACTGTGTAAAGAATCTATGGCATTAGAAAAAAGGTGTCTTTTAAAAACTCTATATTTTTTTAGAACTTAATGGCATAGTTACAGATTTTTGAAGAAGACTGAAACCCTTGAGGTACTTCTCTCCTGACTTTTAGCAATATCAGTGTTTTTAGCTGTTCACAAACTGTAGCTTGTTCCATAGACATTATTTTAAGAATTCTGTTGCATTATTTGATTCCAGCTGCTAATAAAAATTGCTACCTTTTTGTCCTGTTAAACATTGGTAAAGCTCTACATCTTGACTTCAGTGTAAGTCTAGCAGAAAATAAGTTACATATATTATGTTAATATTTTAATGCAATCATCTTAATATGTTTAAAAAGTATTTGTTCAGAACTTTGTTAAAAGTGTTATTCAGCTGCAGATTTTTTTCTACAATAATTCTCACTATAATATGTATCAGGTTGCTTTTTACTATATATAATCAGTAGCCTATTTTCCAAGTATCTATGAATCAATAGAGTTTTATTTTACATATATACAGTGCATTCGGAAAGTATTCAGACCCCCCTTCACTTTTTTCAATTTTGTTATGTTGCAGCCTGATACTACAATCGTTCAAATTCATTTTTGTAAATTTATTAAAAAGGAAAAACTGAAATGTCACATTGGCATAAGTATTGTAAATTTATTAAAAAGGAAAAACTGAAATGTCACATTGGCATAAGTATTTATATACAGTGCATTCGGAAAGTATTCAGACCCCCCTTCACTTTTTTCAATTTTGTTATGTTGCAGCCTGATACTACAATCGTTCAAATTCATTTTTTTTCTCATTAATCTACACTCAGTACCTCATAATGACAAAGTGAAAACAGAATTTTAGAAATGTCTGTAAATTTATTAAAAAGGAAAAACTGAAATGTCACATTGCATAAGTATTCAGACCCTTTACTCAGTACTTTGTTGAAGCACCTTTGCAGCAATTACAGCCCCGAGTCTTTTTTGGTATGATGCGACAAGCTTTGCATACCTGGATTGGGGGATTTTCTGCCATTCTTTGCAAATCCTCTGAAGCTCAATCAGGTTGGATGGGGACCGTCGGCGGACAGCCATTTTCAGGTCTCTCCAGAGATGTTCAATAGGGTTCAAGTCAGGGCTCTGGCTGGACCACTCTAGGACATTCACAGAGTTGTCCCTAAGGCATTCCTGTGTTGTCGTGGCTGTGTGCTTAGGATTGTCGTCATGCTGGAAGGTGAACTTTCGGCCCAGTCTGAGGTCCTGAGTGCTGTGGAGCAGGTTTTAACTGAGGATATCTCTGTACTTTGCTCCCTTCAGCTTTCCCTCAACCCTGACCAGTCTCCCAGT